ATTATTTGAAAAAATTGGGTATTTTAAATAGAAAACTAAAGGAAAGAGTTGTAGGTGATTTAAAATGAATTTTATGAGTCTAAGCTCAATTTACTATAAATAAAACTGGTCGAAGTCTTAGCCCCAAAGCATGGAAAACTCTGCACAAATTGATCAGAAATCAAACACTCTAGCCCTAAACAAAAACAGAGTTCAGAAACCATCAGCAAGTCGAGCTAGGAATATTGAAGCCAAAACCGATTACCCAACGAGATTGAATTGCAATATTAGCTAAAGTTTACCAGTAATGTAAATTCATTTATTCTTGTTAACATTTCGGTTCTTGGTTTTGTTCGAGTTCACCTCGATGAGCTATATGGCTGTCGATAAAAAATAAATAAATAAATATAACGGATTAAAGGTAAGAAAAAATGAATTTCAAGGGGAAAACACAAAATAATAAATAAATAAATAAATAAACATTAATCAAAGAACCTGTTTGAAGTAAGGCACAAGGAGAAAATTGAAAGTAATGATTAAAATTTAAAGGAAAATTGAATGTAATGATTGAAAGTAAGGTACTCAACCTTAAGGAGCCAAGTCATACTCAAATTTAAATTAAATATAGGAGCACTTTGTAGTGTTGAAACCATCAAAAGATGTTACATTAAAACTCAGTGGAACAGTTAGGTTGCACGAAACCTGGGCAAGCGATCGATGAATCTTTTCATGGAAAGCAATCACCAAGTCAATACGGTAATGGTGAGTAGCATTGGGAAGCACATGTTCCTCAAACAGTAGAGGCTTCCACCCTTGAATAAGGGCATTCTGAAAAATAGTTGTGTTCTTGGGGTCTTGGTGAATGGATGTCCACCTATCGATCAAAGTCACAAGACCAAATCTCTCATTGTGATAGTATGCAATGACTTGGGTGTCACTCCACTCAAAGTCGATTTTCTGGTTAGGGTTTGTGAGAGTGATGTTGAGGAGGAGATTGTAGGAGAAAGTATGGTTGATTTCGGTATAATTATTGAATCGATTAAGATAAGCACCGTTGATGCTGAATTTGGGATTTGTATACCCTGTCATTCTCTTTGGGATAAAAAACCAGGTATAAGCACCAGCAACGAACAACAGGCACAACAATGTGATGCATATCTTCTCGCAACGATGGCCTGTATTCCTGACGTCTGAACTTTCAGCTGCAAACATGGCTAAGAAAAGGCAACAAATAGTTGGAGAAATTAATGCACACAAAGACTACAATTCTAACGTTAATTTATAGCATTCCCCATTCCAAAACCTTCTTAAAAGAGGAGTTGATCAATCCAAAACATTTTCGGGGAGAAGGAGTGGCAAGTTTATTAGGATTTGGATTGCCGTA